GAGAGTGAGAGAGAGATTTCACAAATCCTCGTAAGCCTCAGGTATTTTCCTCCTGACTAGCGAGAGTCGCGCGTCACGCACAGCTCATGAGCGGATTCTCGCCTGACAACCTTCGGGAAGTCAATGGGGGCTAGCTTTCTCGCAAATCAATTGTACGAGTAGAACATTAAAGACATAAATTTGAAAATTATTTTGATGCGTTATAATTCTATACAAGGCTGAATTTTAATGCAGTAAACAACTATGTAAACGCTCTTGAAGTGAATACATTTAACTATTCATAGAGAAACGTAACCTTTTTTCAGAATTTTCGTATAATATATCATAGACAATACGCGAATCCTTAAATAAAGTCGATTCTTTGACGTGTAATAGTAATTAACTGATAAAATATCTTTCCCGATCTTTTAGTTTTACGAACACTTTTTCTGCTGTAGTAAATATCATTGCCGTTTATGTGTACTTAATTAATTGAGAATATCAGTTGATTTTGGAGTTATTATGTACGACATAGAATAAACATTCATGCAAGTCCAGTATTCTTTTATTTTTCCAAAACGTTATTTAAAATAGAAATGTATTACCAATATATTAAGTGTCAGTTATTACGCACTCTAAGATAAAGCAGAAATATTGTAAACAAACAGTACAAAACGACACAATATTAATCATTAATATTATTTCTATACTCTCTTAAAATAGCTATTTAATTATTTCAAAATCGGTATGCTACAATATGAAAATAAAATTTTTGCTACTCATTTTTCTAGTTACTTTCCAAAATAGTAAAGAGCGTTCTTTGTTCTTGCTTCCTGAATTATTTTATTTACTATACTATATGAACATCAATTTAACATAAATTTAATTAAATCAACTAATATTTACTATTGTACGTATTAACATTAATAAATTATTATTCATAATTTATATTTTTAAAAAGACATTAATTGTTTTTAATCTGATGGAAATTGCTGATTATACAATGTATCTAGATAGCGTTACTTAAAATTGTTAAAAAATTTGTCAAACATTTTATCATTGATCAAGACAATTATGCAGAAGGTAAACAAATATTTCTTATTAATTATATGCATTTTATATATTTTTTACAATATGCGAATGGGATTGACATTTTCAATAGCGTAAGTTACGATTGAGTTGAACGCGTTCAGGGAAAATTTCAGTGTTACAAAAAAAATAAATAAAATGTAACGTTCAAGTAATTATTATTTACCTTATTTTGAAAAAAGATAGTTGTAAGAAGTAATACCTATATTAATGTTATTAGGTGAAGATGAAGATCATGATATTTGATTGGCTTGCTGATATGACGTCAGGATTGGGCGCGAGAATTTGAAATAATTCATCGACTTTTCGATGTTATCGAATAATTGAATGATAAATAAATTTGATTTAGCTGTCATTGACTTTAATTAATAAATTTTATAATAAATGTATTATGTTTTAGTATATTTTAGTCAACATTTCACTATTATAAGTAATGAGTCCGTATGAATTACCGTTTAGTTGGTTGATGGAAAAAAATCTTCTTTATTGTATAATACGACATTCTAATTATATTTAATTGAGAGGTCGTCAATTGAAATTTGTTAAAACAAACCGTAATAATGATTTAATTCAAATAGATTTGTTACAAACAATAAAATAACGGCAGTAGCCGTATCTACCAATTTTTGTTGAATTGACTATTATATAATAAAAATATATCTAGTAAAAATAAACGAATAGTGCCTTTAGAAATTGTTGTAATAAATGATAAAATAAATTCATAAGGCAAATGTCATGAAAGTTGGTGAACGGAAAGGCGGAGGCGGAAAAGAGTAAGTTAGGCTCATTAAAGAAGTACTCGGTTAACTTATCAAATCTTGTGCGACAGCAACGACCTCGACGACCCTTGGTCCAACGATAAGACGCTCATCAGAGGCTCTCGCGGTCATCGATAACTTTATCCTGGAGTGATGCCGCTGGTGCTGACGATCTAAAGGCTTATCGCTATATTCAAGCTAAAACTGTTTACGCTACAAATGCATTATTTTGCGAGTTTTAGTTTTCTAATATCGTAAACGAGCATTCTGCCATGTAAACTATGTTCAATGCCAATTTCATAGCAAGCTAATGAAAAGAAAATATTACAATTCATACAGAAATATAAACATAGTTTTGATAATCTCATATGATATTGTGGACAACAAATATAATTGTCATGCATAATATGCATTAAAATTATATCATTTTAAATATGAATATGTAACTGAAAATCTAAATACATCGTATCTCAAATGTAGTATTTCTACGCCAAAACATTCGTAAAATTTCCGAGCAATCTAGTTTCCTTTTGAAAAGAATTAATGATAAGCTAAGTATAATAGGAAAGTTTTTGCTCGATACTCGTAAATGTCAATTAGGATAGCTACATTATCATGTTAAAGCGCCAGTAGGCTCGCGTCTGCAAATTTATATAATGATACGAGGAATGCTAAACTCGCTAGTAGCATAACATAAAGTACTTGGTATGGTATTACGTGGCAGTAATGAACCAGTACTTTTAAAATGGAAAAATAACGAATATGTAAGTTATAATGTAGGATTGGAAAAGTCAACAAGTTAAAAAGGGTCTACGATTTGACGACATGATAGAGAAAAAATACGTTAGACAAAAAAGATCATCCTCATATATAAGACGTATATAAAATTGTTTTACAGTCACTAGATTTGGTTACACGATGAAATCATTTTACTAATCTTCTTTTGAAGTCAACAACAAAATATTAGCAATAACATAAATAGCAAAATAAAAACATTTTACTTAAAATAATCTTTGTTGTCTATTGTAAAAAGAAATTATTTCATCGTGTACGTAAATTAATTTTTTGTAAGTATTACTTGATATTGTATTATTTAAATTTTGCTAGTTTTACATTATTATGCATTAATCGTTTCCCGTGAAATTAAAATTACTACGTATATTTTTCTTTTCTAGAAATTATCGTCCTGCTTCAACAATCTGAAAAGAACTTATCGAATGTGTACGTATGTATATACGTGTAAGCAAAAAGAGTAATGGGTAGCAAGATTGTTTAAACGACGAATAAGAGCAGCTCCTGGCGCTTTACCCCCATACCACGTGATTTAACTCGTCAGGCGGCAGAGTAGATTTTGTTTTATCTGTGGCCCCACGGGAATCTTGTGATAAAGATGAGAATTAAGAGAATAATAAGGTTACACGAGAACAGCTTTAAGTAAAGATTGCTTGAAAAGAAATATATTTTCCACTTCCAGCGAAGCAAAACTAGTTCCATTTATGAAGCATGAAAATATAATTAAATTTTATATGCCTAAATAAACTCTTGAAAAATCCTGAAAAAATCTTGTCGAACTACTTTTAAATGTAATATTTACAGAAATATTAAAAGGTTGGCTAAATGCTTAGGATCTCCACTATTAAATCAATATCACATACCATTAACGTTCAATTTCAATTATAAGCCATTATATAAATAAAATGTAGAAAATATTTAACGGTGAACAATATGTTAAAAAAAAGAATGACAATACAACACTATCTTTTACTTTCGATATTTAGATACACTGTTCCTCACAATAAACAATATAGTAAATGAACGTATCGTGTATTTCAGAAAGTTGACTTAAACAACTAAATAATCGCAAATAACATTAATTATTTAAGTAATACAAAAAGTTGATATTTTACATAAACTGTATGTAAGTTATATGATCAAATATCACATTAAATATATGAATCTATGAATCAAATATTTTAATAGTAAGTGAACGTTTGAAATCAAATACAATTTTGTTTGCTAAGTCAATTTATTTACGTGACAAGAATTTTAATTTGAACTTTTCAGATTGAAAATTTGCTATTAATCTATACTATTATATGAAAACTCTTTAATTTCGAATATTGGAACTATTTACTAAATTTATTTTTAGAAAATTTATTCCAAAACATGAAGTTATTGCAGATTGCTTTGTTGGTGTATAATTATGATATTATAGCATAAATAGAAATTTTATTTTATTTAAAATCAATCAGTCCAATTGTTACTGCTAATTCAAAGTGTATCAATAAACGAAAAATTGAAAATTAAAAAGAGTTATTTTGCGCTCCACACTCAAGGTCAGTTGTTGTAAATTCTTGTTATTTTAGCGATTCGTATCAATATCAATATTTGATACTGAGGCTGCCATCTAAAGTTTGAATATTGAATTTACAATCGTAACGTCTCTTTGTAGACGGCATGCGACCGCGGTAAATTATCTTAATTTATCATTTCCTAATTTATCATTTGCTATGATGGTACTAGTTAAATGTATTTTCAATTGAATGGTATTTTTACATTGAATTAATCATTGAATAATTATATATATATATACTACAAACACTGCCTGGAATTAATTCGCAACCCGCTAAGTTCAAAATCCGAATTCCTTTCGACGATTGAGTATCGATGATACCAAATGAAATTAGTATTTCGCGAGCATCTTCATAGAAACATTAATGATCACAATTAATTTGTACATTTGTTTGGTCAAATATTTGTATGAATAACATTTGACATATGAAACAACTATTATTTAAATAAAATTTATCAAATAATTTAAATGAATTCATTTTGTCAATAAATAATATCAACTATAATAATATAATATTATTAATATCGTAAAATAATTATACCTAATTTTTATACTATAAAAATCATTTTTCTTCAATATTAAACTGATGAATAATACAATCGCAACTTGAAGATTATGAATGTATAAATGAAATTAAAAAACGATTAATCAAATATCGATTAGTGTTTTTGTTATTCAAATTGTTACTTCGTTAATTTTATAACTTAATGTTGTTTTACATACACACAAATAAATGACAAAATTTGTATATATATATATATATATATATATATATATATATATATATATATATATACACACATACCTACGACACCGTTCATGTTTCAGCCATAATTCATATGGCGGCGTAAAAAATCTACTGCAGTGTTGATTGACTGTTGAAGCTATAGTGGTAAACATGGCGTTAGCTGAAGTGTGTGGTTTGAACTCTTTTGTAAACTTCAATAATTCTATAGAAGATGAATTTCATCAAGACCTCGAATATGAAAATTTCACAAATAATACTGCTTTGGCGATGCCACCATTTAGCAATGTAAGTTTTTATTTTATTAACTTACTACTTTATGAAACTGCTGAGTTTACCAATATTTATTAATATTTAATTAATACTACTTATATTTTTAGTTACTATTGGTTAATTATCTATTATTTTCATTTGAAAGTTCTTTTGTTTTAAATAAGTTTGCTACAATTTTTGAGGTTATGGCGTAATGACTCAAGTGTTTTTGAAAATTCAATTGATTCATTATACCAATTTTTTATATTTTTTAATTTTAGCCGGCGGGTTTTCTTGGTCAATTAGCTAAAGGAACAGATGAAACTGGTAAACATATGAAAATTCAATTTGACCATGGAACTACAACACTAGGTTTTATGTATCAAGGAGGTATTGTACTTTCTGTAGATTCTCGAGCTACAGGAGGACAATTCATTGGTATAATATATTATTGTATATTACATTTTTTAATATGTTATTAATACGTACCTAATATTTAATATTAATGTTCTGCAGGTTCACAAGTGATGAAAAAAATTGTTGAAATCAATGATTACCTGTTAGGAACATTGGCTGGCGGTGCAGCTGACTGTGTATATTGGGATAGAGTATTAGCTAAACAATGTCGCATGTATGAATTACGCAATAGAAATCGTATATCAGTTGCTGCAGCAAGTAAATTAATGTCAAATATGGTTTACAATTACAAAGGAATGGGTCTTAGTATTGGTAAGACTTAATTATAGTTTGAAATGAAATCTAACAAAATATCATTCGTTTTATTGTTTGTTACTTTAAGAAATTAAACTCAACAATTTGAAAATCTTTTGCTCCTTAGTATTCTAAATCAAATTTTATGAAGCTCAAAGTTTAGATTTTAAGAATTTTGAATTATTGAATTTACTTATAAAATTATGAGACCTATAATCATTTCATATGAATCTAGGTATGATGATTGCTGGATGGGATAAAAGAGGACCAGGATTGTATTATGTTGATTCTGAAGGTACTCGCACACCTGGCAAAGTGTTCAGTGTTGGTTCAGGTTCAGTTTATGCCTATGGTGTATTAGATTCTGGATATCGCTGGGATCTAACTGACGAAGAAGCGTATGAACTTGGTAGAAGAGCTATTTATCATGCAACACATAGAGATGCTTATTCTGGTGGTATTGTCAGAGGTAAGCCAAACTTTGAAAAATAAATTTGCTTCTGTACATTTTAATACTATTGAAATCTAATTTCAAAACTAAACTCTGTGTTATTATTTTAATTAAAGTACATTTTTATTTAATTAATTGTTGTTTCATATGCTAAATGTTATTTGTACAAATATTTGCAAGTTTCTAAAATAGTTTTTCATTTATTCTATATAACATGTAGTCTCATTTAGAATAAATTTTACAGTTTATCACATGAAATCAACTGGATGGGTACACATCACCGATCAAGATTGCAAGGATTTACATTATGCATATGCAGAAGAGAAGAAAGTTGATAACTAAATTCTCATAATCACTGATTTTTTTATTCAATAATAAAATTACTTCTATTTAATATTTAAATCTTTTATTAAAAATCTCCAATTATTTTTTATTTTTATATATAAGTAAGAAAAGATTTCAATTCAAGATTTAAATAAGACATTTGAAAAGTCGCGCGTACGGGATCTCCATTGTAGTTATTTACCTTTGGGCTGCTTGCGTTGCGCGAGTATTGCTCTAGAACCACTCGGTTGGCAACAGAAGATTATGCTACTGCTCAATGATGCTTTGACGCCTCACGGTTTCGAGCAGTGTATGTGTACGCGTAGAAAGTCGCATATCCCGTCGGCGAAACATATTGAACGTTAACTTGTATTTTTTACGATTATTTGCAATAATATGTCGAGCACCGAAGACGTAACTCTCAAGGGTGGACATCCTCCTGCAGGTCAGAATTCAAATATTGTCTTATATTTATTTTTTTTTTATTGAATCATAATTATCAGTTATGGAGTGATATGAAATTTCAAGGTCGCTTGAAAGTACGTTGGAAACGAAGAATGTTGATAAATTTATTATGCTGATATTTGATATTTACAGTGGATTTTGCTTATTACAGTTAAAGCCGGAGGTATGAGAATCACCCAACATAAAAATCCAGAAAAAGAAAGAGAAGTTAAACCTGTGAAAGATTCTGAAGAAACAAAGCCTTCAACAAGGTAATTTGCTGTTTTAAGTCCTTGAATCTTATTTTTGCGCGTATTACTTGTGTATATAATCTTCATTATTATTAACTTTTTTCAATAAAATTTTTTTGAATCAGGATAATTTTACTCATTATTAAATATATAAATCATCAAAAAACTTAATAATTTTTTTACAAAGTCAGATTTTTTTTTCAATATTTATATTCATGGTTGTTACAGTCCACCTAAAGCTATAATTGTTAGTGGTGTACAAACAAAAGGACATGCTGACTTTCCTCCAGAAGCTATTCAACATTATCATGAGAAACCTATTACAACTCATGATGCTCGTCCAGCACACAGTTCTCGTCCCATTATAATCCAGCAGCCCAGGAAATAGATCATAAGTTAATAATTTGTCTAAGTTCTCAATGCATAAAAATTATTTCAATGACCAATGGCCATAATAAGAACTAGATATTAAATTTATGAATTAATCTTGAGCAAAATGTATTTATATGAGTTTCTTATATTTATCAACAAAAAAAAATAACTGACAGTAATCTTGAATGTTTTTACAAAATAAAGGCTGTTTATAAGTGAGAAATGATGCATTTATAAAATTTAACGATGTTAATATAACTTTTGTATGTTATCTTACATTTTTCAATTTAAAAAGTTTTACAAATACATCAGTTATTAAAAAAGTTTCTAGATTTTATGAAAGTTTATAATTGTTACTATAAATATTATTTTTGTCTACAATTTCTTATGAATCGACTGTGATTTTGAAAAATTGTAGCCAGATGTACTTACACTTTCTATAAATAGTAACAGAAATTAACATCATACAATAAATACTTAGTAAACAAAATAAATATCAATATTTTTTTATAGTATATTATCTATTTTACTGTGAATCCAACTAATATTTAAAAAATATAAAGTTGTACATTTATTAAAATAATAAATAATTTAATTAATAAAACAGTTTATAATCATAATCTTGTGGAACCTTATATGAACATAATATGTTTGCAGAAACAGAAAAACAAATTGTTTTCAGCTCATTACTAAATTACATCATTTTATTATCGAAAAATATGAACTTTAGAAAACTCATTCATGTATCTTCTATTGTTGCTCAATAAAAAAATTTTTTTAATATAAGTATGAATTATTTTTGCAAAATATTCTTAAGGAATTTGTGTTTTTCCATTAATCACTGTGATACAATCTTAATGTACCAAAACTAAATTCAAACTTTGTAGTTTTAGTTATTTTCTGTGGGACAGCATAATGATAATATTAATAATAATATTATTGTCATATATATCGGCAGTCGACATATTAAAATAGTAAGCACTTATTTTTCCGTTACTTCATATGTTAATTATATAGAACAGTTTTTACAATAAAAATTTGAATTTGTTAATGCTTTTTATATTGACAATATAAATTCAACACGGTTCTATTTGCGCATAAAAGTAATCATTTAGAGCTGAATTTTTAGTATAAACAAATTACCAATTATGTTTAAAGCTCTTTCGAGCAGGTTGCTTATGAAATATTTTCGTAATAAGAAGTGAAGGTTAATCAAATTAAATTCTTTTACCTGTAGATCCTTTCAAGTAAATTTAATTAAAAATGAAAATAGAATAAAAAAGCCAACGTTTCAGTGACATTTTAGAATCACCCTATTGATACAGTAAATCGTACAAATTTGTTTTTCTAACTTGATATGAGTGATCCTAAAACGTTAGCGAATCGTTGGTTTTTTCATTAAGCTTTAACTAAATTTGCTTGAAAGAATCTACAGGTAAAAGAATTTTATTCGATTAAACTTCACTCCATACTATTAAATGATCAAATTTATGAAAAAAATGTATACTACTTTGTAACTTTAAATTACTTAAAGCTTATAAGCATACGAAGCCATTCCAAAAGCCTTAATGTGAACTTTGTAGAAAGTGTTGTAGTGACTATTGATGAAGGGATTTATATCAATTGTCAGATAACTCTGAAACCTTAGCAGTTGGCAAATTACGTTGATAAAAGCTTGTAAATTTGAACTACTATGGTTACTACATATCGTCAATAAGATTGACTGGTAAATCAGATGTAAATTGAAATGAAAAGTAGTTTCAAATAGTACGAGGAATGAAATTAACCAAGGAAGTCGGAAACTGTAATATAGTTAAAAAATAAATTACATGTCACATAATCGCTTTCCAATTATCAAAAATCTATAATATTATGACTCACTTTCTTCTCGGCCATCTTATTTTTTGATTGGAATATACTGTACATTACGATACAAGTGCGGGAATGTAGATTCTCGTCTCGTGTGGCGTTGACGCTCGAGCGAAGCGAGGATGGAAAGGTACACGAGACGAGAAACTCTTCCCCGAACATATGCCGTACCGTATTTTTTGATACGACGTGTGGAAAGTGCGATTTTCAACGCACGTTTTTTGCCAAGCGTGCGGGAAAAACGCACTTTCCGCACGGAGTGTCGAAAAATACGTAATTTGTCTACATTTATACGTTTACAAATTATAATTTACGCCTTTACAACTTTTTGAACCATTTCAGGTATCTATAAATGGAAGTATATATAGTTTTTAATTTACACCCGTAATATAAATGCCTAAACGTGGTTAAAGTATGTATTAAAATTATGACTAATTAGCTTGGCCGATCGCATGAATCGTCTGCTTATAAACTAGAAAGCTCGAGCGGCTCGGTTCTTGTACCGAGCTGAATTCAAATTGAGTCGAGTCTTTGAAGAAATCCGCTTATGAAATGCGAAAGATTTCATCTAAGCTGATTAACTCGATCATGAACGCGTATCTTTCTTCTCATCAGTAAAATTGCTCTACAAAACGGAGGTTTGAATTTTCGAACAGCTGTGAAAATTTTTACGTCGCTGAATTTACAGTTGACACGCTATATATAAGTGAGCTATGATTTTTAGCGTTGTTATCCACAGTACATTACAAGAATATTACATACTCTTAGACGTACGAAAATGAAATACTGACTAAAAATTCTTGTTTAGCTTGGAAAATCTGAACTATATCTTAGTTTAAAATTAAAAAGTGATATCGTAAAATTTGATCCCAGACTCCTAAAAAAATACGTCGGTCCAAAATATGAGTCTCAAAACACATTTCATATATAGGCGGACGCGGCTTTATGGTACTTGATAATAATATATCTTCCAAAAGAATATTGAAAAAAATTCCAAGTTAAAAAATTGCTGTGGGTAACCCGCCTTGCCTTATTTACCCTTTTTTTTCCCTTTTTATAGCTCGGGAGACGTAGTAAGTTGTGTATAATATTAGATGTGTTCGGCGTACGCGTTGATCGACTTCAATTTTTTGTCCAAAGGCATGTAATATATTCAACGAGTTAGATACTTTTATATGACGTCAAAAGTCAAAGGTTTGATTTTTATTTATTATTTAGTGAAAGTTGTAAATAGTTCTGTACCGAAAGTAAAATTTAAGCTAGAGCAATTCTTACCGTTCCATCGCTAAATAAGCAACTACAATGAAAAAATGTAAGTTGTTATTTTTCTAGAAATCAATGATCACGGTAAATACCATTAATATTTTATGTGATGGCATCTACAGAATTTCGATAGATTCTACTCTATAGAAGTCCATGGATTTTAGTGGTTTCATATCGCACACTCGTATTTCCTTCACTTGCTATTTGATTTTACGATCCGCCATGAATTATTTATATGCACCCTAGCGTGCTCCGAAATTTTCTTCTGTATTCCTGAGGTAAATAAGAAACAGCGTCAAAGTACCAAGTTTCATAATTGAATATTTGATAAAATGCATTCGAAGAAGATGCTTCTTTTAGACTAATTTATTAGTTGTTTTATGTTGTTTAATAAATCGTACAAAACTGGCGAACGGAAAGCTCACGAAAAGCGCATTTTTTTACTCAGTTTTTCAGTTTTTCAGTTATGGCGGTATCAATGTGGATAACAAATAGTGTTGCGAAGTACTTATAAAAGCGAAGGGTTCACGTCGAAAACAATGTGCGAAGGAGGGAGGGAGGAGCTGAGAGGGTGCACGCAAATCCACAGGGTTAAAAAGGAAATATAAAACGAGAATAGTAGCATAGGTATGAAAGTGTCGCCTTGGTAACGAGGCGCACATACAGCCCGTGAACGCAGTACGTCGCGCGTGCGGCCAGCCGCGAGTGACGACAAATAAAACTCGCGGGCGGCATATCTCGAGAAAAGCATCGGAAAAGTGCGAAGCTTGCTTTGTGGCGTCGTTGTCCCGGCGAAATCGTCAATCTCTGCATTTGCAAAAGCATTTTCGTGTCGTAATCTACAAGGCAGTCAGCTGGGCGGAGTAAACAAAAATTTATGAAAAGTGCAATGCTGCCAACTCTATGTTTCGGTAAATCGTCGTCGACATACAGCTGCACCCGACGTCGTCGCTGCTCTGGTTGCCACGACCAGTTTTACGCCTAACAGCGGGCCCAACAAGCTTAGATATCAGCGTACATGACGTTTCAGAACAACCTTTTGATTGTTTTACTGCGACCACCAACGCCACGGCGAAATGTCCATCAAAAGATCCAGCGAAAGGCACTCTGAAATTGATGTGCACGTCACCAAACACTACGACATCATCCGAAGACTTGGCAAAGGCGTGAGTGGCTTTCAATTACTTTGATCAACTACAATGATCGCACAAAAACTATTGAAATTTATGCCATCTATAATAGCCTCTACAGTACGACTTATTGCGCATTTTTTAACTCTTTTCACGCGACATACTCTGACAAATCTATTAATGTTCAATCCGTATTCACGTCTTTTTTGTTAATCGTATAAATTTCTGAATAGAGTAAATCGAGTATATTTTAAATTTAAGGTCAAAGCTCTTTTCGTATGAATGCACGACGTTGCCTCTGTCTTTAATATAATTGTAAACACTTCTTTTTTGACTGTGATTTCGTATTTTATAATTACTTGACAGAATATATTTTTATCATTTTATCAATCACTACACTTCAGAAATTAGCATACATAATTATATACACTATCAAGTGTATGAATGCTCTTTTATTTATTCGAGGGTAATTATATCAAGCCTTTCCGAAATTCAATATAGAATATTGTGGAATTACGGAAATACACAGAAAACTTGTTATATGAAATGGTATTGATTTTCATATCCGATATTGTTCTAGTTATTACGGTACAATAATTACGCGACTTACGTTTCATTTTTATCGATTGTGAAGATTACTTCTAAAAAAATATAACATCTTGAAAAAGAATATGTGACATGAAACATCTAACTATATCTCTAATTAAACAAATATGATACTAACTGCTTTTATTGGCTTGTATAATATTTTGAATATTTTTAAGCATTACAATATATTGACTTTAGTAAACCTGACGCGGGAAAGAAACATCACTTACACGACTGCGTAAGCTATTACAAATAAAAATAGTTTTTCGCAAAAAAAAATTATCTATATTACTCAGCGTAGGTTCGATTTAAAGAAATATGCCTTGTAAAAAGTTTGTGAAAAGTTAACAGTCGAAACATTGATTAAACAGTAAACGTGATTCTATACTCTCAAGTATATATCATTCGAAACTGATCGATATAACATGACGGTCGCACTCATTTATGCCCACTTCCTGCTTTATGTAAGCTCTACTTTGATGCTTTCACTAGTATTTATATAAACTACATAAACGCACAAAAACATGGACAATACTTTTCAGTATTTTTCTTATTGATCTTTACGTATTTTCACACATGGGATCGGAATATGGCATCAAATTTTACACCACATCTACAGATTTATAAATGTATTATCAATAATGTACAAGAATAATAAACAAATCAATAAAGCTTTCATTTCTCAATTTCACTTATTTTGTAGAATAATAAAAATTAATAATAATAAGAGATTTTTGTTGATCCCCTGTAGTAATTTCGATAATCTAACTTTTGAATTGTAGCGTAAATGTCATATATGTTCTTTGAAAAAAGTCACTTGTTGTAGCGTTTTCAACATCTCCTAAATAATCTAAAACCATTTAAAAATGCTTGACCAATAGATTTCTGATTTGAAAAATATATAAATAAATAACAATTTTAATCGTAAATCCGCAATGTATATAACAACCCTTCAAAAAGTACGGATAACTCTGAGAAAAATAAATAACCGTTTTCTTGTATTTTTCGAAATAATATATGTTTAATGAATGCTTTAAATTAATTATAATTATTAACAAATTTACAGGCTTACGGCATTGTATGGAAAGCCGTCGATAATAAAACGAAAGAAACTGTGGCCGTAAAAAAAATTTTTGATGCATTCAGAAATCAGACGGATGCTCAACGTACATTTCGTGAAATCATTTTTTTACTGTCTTTTGCTAATCACGAAAATATTATACAGCTGATTGGACTACACAAAGCAAACAACGATCGTGATATATATTTAGTTTTTGAGTACATGGGTTAGTATAGTACTAAATTATTATAGATTTATTCTAGAAAAAAATAGTAATTATTTTATTAAGTGTATTGCATATTTCAAATTATACTATCTAATAAATTAAACGTTATTTAATGTTGTTTATAAAGAATAAAACAATATATTAACATCGTTTATTACTAAGTTTACGAACATATTAATTTATATTAATATCCAAAGACATGCGGTACCTTTAATTTATTTCTTCTGTATGTTTGATACATTTATAGAAACGGATCTTCATAAGGTAATAAAACGTGGTACGTCATTAAAGGACATCCATAAAGTTTTTATTATGTATCAATTATTCAAAGCCATAAAATACATACACTCTGGAAACGTAATTCATCGTGATTTAAAGGTATTGTATTTTTAAAGATAATTTGCCTTTTAATAAACATATGGCTTATTCAATTCTAAATTCGATGGAAAATCTACTTTAATATTAAAAAATGAACTTAATTTTCTTTATTTAGTTATCTAAATAAATCAGATATGTTAAATAAAAATGAGAAAAGTAATTTTTATTGTAGTAACCATCGTATAGTAAAAAATAATTAAATAGCATTAATATTCTAAATTTTGTTATTTATGAATGTTTAGTTGAGTATTATTGAAATGTTATTTTAATTTAAAAGTAGAGTAATATTTATGACATAATTTAGGTCATTGGTATTAAAATTCGCTGTATATAGTAAGATTATAAGCTAATTATTGAAACGTTATTATTGAAGGTAGATAGAGTAAATTAATCTTTCAATTATTGAAATCAAAGATTAATATATTCCTATCTTATTATCTTTTAATACAAAAGTAAACTAGACATCTGTTTCATAGCCATCAAACATTCTATTGAATTCCCGATGCCATTGCAAGATCGCAGATTTTGGTCTGGCGCGCTCCATGAGTCAATTAGCTGAGGGAGATGGTGAGGCAGGAAGCGATCCTACTTTGACGGATTACGTTGCAACGCGCTGGTATAGGGCGCCAGAAATATTGATTGCCTCGAAAAAGTAAGCTACATAGCTTTCAGCGATAAATAAAAAAAAAAAACAAATCGATGAGAGACCTGTGATGATAGATTACAGAGATATCGCGTGATTCAACCCATGTAAAATTGCTGAATCCTAGAAAAATGTCGATGGTCACGATATGCTCGTGACCTTTACTACTTTTTTAAGCTCTTTCTGATAAAGATGTGCGAGTTAATAAAAAGACAGTGGAACTGTACATGTCCAAAAATATATAGACTTTGATAGATAATATTCCTTTTTAATTAAAAAAAATACACACACAAATAATCATTTTGCGAGCAACATTTGTTTATTAATAGTAATAGCGATACTGCCTTTTTTAATTACTACATAGAAACAAGTATAATACAGAAATTCAAATTGATAAATATAAACGCTTATCCACAAGAAATTCTATTTAAACAGAGCTGCTTACTTTATTATTGCGATAATTGGTTCCACGTACAATACAAGCATATAATGTCAATAAAATGAAATGTATTAATTTGAATTCGAATAATTTAATTTTGTTTGAACTTTCAATATGTAAATTTAATGTAATGGTAAATGTGTAATTGATTAAAATTATTTAGAATTGCTAATGGAAAATATTTACTTGTCGATGCAGATACACTAAAGGCATTGACATGTGGTCTTTAGGCTGTATCTTTGGAGAGATGTTGCTAGGAAAGCCCTTGTTCCCGGGTTCGTCAACAATTAATCAAGTTGAGAGGATTATGGCCACTTTACCTCCTCCTACTCACGAAGGTAAAACTTGTTTACTTAGTTTCTACCAAGTTTCACATATATTCTCTTGCGTTTGAATTATTCTGCAATATTTATGAATATCCCTTTCTACTACGTGCGAATTTTTTTTAAATAGAATTACTAAATTTACATTATAACTAGACTATTCTCATTGGAATATATAAAAACCTTTTTGAATAATGTATTCTCTTGAGGGTACGAAGATTATTATTATTATTATTACTATCGATTCTTCATCCAATAACTTTCCACATGTAGATTTTTTATGTTATTCAATAAATAAATAAACGTGTAGGATGGGTCGGAGCTACAAGAGATTGATCATAAAAGTAAAGCCGGCTTATTTCATATATGTGGCACGTTTTTTTATTGAATCAAATTGCAAAGCAGTGCTCTTTTATTCAAATATAAAAACATATTGAGAATTTTTTATAGAATCATGTAGCAGATAAAAAATAATGTCAAGTTAGTTCATTTTATCCTATTGTTGAACAAGTATCTAAAATTTTAATCTAGCCATACATTTTTTGGAATCAACGTTAATAGTATATACGATATGTGTTCTAGATTTGACATCAGTAAGTGCTGGATATGGTTCGAGTTTGTTGGAAAAAAGCCCGACGAGTCCTCATAAGACAATAAGGGAATTGTTACCAAATGTGTCTGAAGTAGCTTTAGATCTCATTGAAAACTTGATTGTTTTCAATCCTAATCATCGTTTAACTGCTGTAGAAGCTTTGGAACACCAATACGTCGCAATGTAAATTATAAAATTATATTTATTTTTATTTAGATTGAGTTTATGATGACAACAACGTATACGTATTGTGCAAGTCGGAAATTTCTTGCTAATTTTTATGAAGAGTTTTCTTGCGTGACGGTATAATTCTGATGATCACGTAGTATAATTATTTTTCATAAGTCTTGATAAAAAAACATTCCTAGTATATTAATTCTTTTACGACTTTTATTTTTTTCACTGATAGGTCTGTTTATTTTTTCAATTTCGAAACGAGATTAGTACTGCATAAATATTGCTTTTAATTAATTAATTATTTGAATTTTTATTAGCTTTCATGCAAAAGGAAACGAACCTGAAAAAGGTTTTAGCGTGATACCCTTTCTTCGAGATGACGTACAACTTTCCGTCGAGGAATACCGCAATAAACTTTACGCTATGATGGATGAAAAACATCGAAAACACAAAAACATGTAAGCCTTGTCACCAAGTTACAAACAATCATCAAGTATTGCTAACTAATTTTTATCTTACAATATTTATAACAATAAATATTATATGTAAGTAGTAAGCTTTACGTGTTTTGCTTATTCATATCAGGTCTAAATCAAGAATAAGACGTCTTTCAGAACATATTAGAAAAGATTCTTATTCGTCCATTCAAGGTGATACACAGGTCCGCAAAAGTTTTCATTTATCTTGTGACGACCTACGTAAAGAGAAATCCAAGACTGATACTTACAAAGCCTTATTCCTAGAAGGTAAGATATATATAAAAGTTGTTAAGCAGCTCAAAAATTCTTTCAATAGTTGCATATAAATAATGATTAGTAAATGGTTTCAAATAACCACACATTGAACAATCGAAAGAACTTACCTCTAAGTGAAATTACGATCTTAATTGTATGAGCTGCCTTGTCCTCATAGATCGAGCATATAGACACCAGTTTGCTAGTTTTTCGCCACAAAATTGAAATCCAAAAGCTTTTTTACGCTTCCGTAATGACGCGCGTGTGTGCCTCCTTTTGACTCGGGCGTCGTCTCTATCTCCACTGAAAACCTCGTCATTTGAGTTTGAAGCTTCTTAAATTGCAATATTGGGTAGGTTTAGGCTTATATTTATGCTAAAGTATGAATATGGGTGAGCCCTTGCTCTCTTCGGACGAAGCAGCCCACACAATTATGCTCGTAACTTCACTTACGGGTAAGTTAGTTCGATCGTTCAATTGTATTGCGTGGCCTCGTTTTCTTAAGTTGATCATGTAGTTATTTCAAGCAATGTTGCGATTTTAGTTCCATATGGACTTATACCTTAGTATAACGAAAAGTAAGAGGAGAAAAGATCTCAGTAGATACTTTTAGAGAAGTTATTTTTACAATTATTCTTATTTATACGACCTATATAGTAGTGGTGAAGAGGAGGGATTATTTTTCATATGATTACTGTAGCAAATACTTGTACTGAATGTTTACTCCTTTTCGTGCTGCTGCTGACGTCGACACGCTTCGGGTGTTATGGGCAGTATCTTCGTCTCGATGTCGTTTTCCTGTAAGACTTCTCGTATCCATCGATTGATTGAATTGTTGGCGCCTTCGCTTCTTTGTAAAACTTTTCAGTAGTGATAAATAGTTTATTCATATCTTGTCGAATGATTCTCGTTTTATCTAGACATACTTTTAGTGTTGCCATAAGGTAGGCTGAGTTTGTTATTAAAAATTAGAATGTTCAGAACAGGTTGATATTTATTGCGACCTTAGGTTTTGATACGATCTGATATTTTGATTTGTGTAACATTCTTATTGATGGTGATATTTTAAACAAAGATCTTCAAGAGTGATTGCATCCTTTGAACGATGGTTAATGGTGCGGACAATTGTGCACGGTTTTATTGTATACATAAACTATTGTGCACAATAACATGGTGTAAATCAGCGTGTATCAATTCTTACTGTGCATGATAATTAATGTACATAATAAAACCGTGCACAATAGTCTGCAATAGCGTTTCCACCGTTGTTTTTCAAAAATGATTTTTTCAAAAAAATCTTTTTTCATTATTGCTTGTTGGATAATCGAGCAGCTGCCAGGAACATTTTTGACGATAGTGGATACGCTTCTTTGAAAGAAGGTACTAGTAAATTTTTTGCTGGGCGGAATTTTAGAGGTTCAGAATGTAGCAGTTCCGTGAACAAGGGGAACTAGAGTATGACGATAGTGCCTTCGACTCTGTCGACTTTTATTTTGTGCAGGACACGTAAAATAATAAAGAATAGTAGCAATGCTTAGAATTCCAGTTTTTCTTATAAAATTGTAAAAGCGTCTATAAGCCACGGAGGCAGGATCTTATTTTCACGATATATTTTTTTGCACTGTATAATGGCTCGATTTCGGGGTCACCAAATCGTTCGAGAATTTGCTTGAATGCATAATCTACTAATTTCCACTTAATCTCTTTAAACTGAATGTACGATTCTTCGCCTGCTAAAGAATTTTCTTTAGTATTTATGTATGATCTAAGAGAATCGACTTGATCTTCGATACAGCAATCCCTTCCCTATCATGACAATTACGCGTCTCGCGGACTACCTTCGCCGAAACACTTGTGCGGTAAAAGGAATGAGCAGACATGCACGCCATTACGAAGGCGCAAAAAAGCTTTTAGATTTGAACTCTGTGGCAGAAAACTAGAAGAATGGCGTCGCTATGTGATTGATCTAAAAGGACGAGGCAACGTAGTATAATTCAATAGTTTTGTGAGCTTGAAAAAAGGCTTGCGGTAATCGTAACATTCAAACATTTTTCTAATTTATCGTATGTATTTTGTTAATTATAGGAGAGGTAAGACCAAATTTAACAAATAAAAATAGAGTCCTTAGAGGTAAAGAAAGTAAAGGGATGCAAGTTTTAAACATGATGACAAGCGAGAACGTTTCAAGGCAAAATGGTATGAACATATATTATTTTTTTATCAAGGCGTTACTCTTAGTTGAATCTAGTGAACAATAATTTCTTTGAAAACCTCATTTAACTTGTATATTGTAGAAACAAAAATATCAACTTAATAACTTAATAACGGTTTTTAGTGAAAACTTAGTTCATTTGTATGACTTATAATTAACAATTTCTTCAGAAAATTCGCCACAAATATGCAGATTTTACTACAATTTTGAAAATATTTCCATACATCTATGTCGAAAAGGCCTAAAAATAATTCATAATTACTATTACTACTTAATCATATAACATGTTACAGTAAACATTCAAAAACAGTAACCAATTTGAACTCTCTTTACAATGTTTAAAGATAAATACAAACAAGTTTTTGTTGTTGCTTCTAATTAATAAAGTAACGTTAATTTTGTGGATTTTCTTTTTAAGTTAACATCACTCCAGAAAAAGATCATCAATTCTATATTTATAGTATTTTTTATGTGTTATACATATATAATGAATGTAATTATATATAATTTATATATAATTTATATGTATATATAGCATTATTGAAAGGAATGCTCATTCATTCTTACGTAAATTCATGAAATTCAGTTGAATTTGGTTGTTCGAATGTAATTTTGTAAATACAATTTATTAGATGTAGTGAGAAAACAATCTTCCTTTTGTCAGTCAAATCATCGAATAAAGATATGACCATACAATACGCATACAATCTGATCAATGGAAATCTACGAAATCTCGTCCCAAGCCATGCAAAGAGCTGCGTATATTTAAGCCAACAACCCGAAAGGATAACCAGGACACAGCGCTCAATACAATCAGATCAGGTAAAATGATCTACTATTTCTACCATTTTTTCCAGATGTTTGAAAATAAGTAATTTTTAAAAGATTTATTATAAGATGATATAGATTTAAATGAAATTCACTTATATAACGAAAACGCGTATTAAAAATACATGATTGCAAAGGTACATCGACTAATTTTTATTTGAATTGATGGAAAATTACAAAATTTGCAGTTGTTTTATCATGCGGGAGTTAATTTAGGTATTAAAAACTATTCTATTTAAATTCTGAATTTTTAAGAACATGATTTTCATTTTTTTCTCATTAAATTTTCAATTACACACAATCTGTAAAAAGAATTTACTACGTGAAAAAAGAACTATTCAAAACTATATGACAATATCATATGACGAGCTTAATTTTTTACTTATTGTATTCAAGAATTTACCACTTCAGATTGATTTCACTAAATACTTTATTTGATTTGTTTGAGCGTATACTCTTATCTCAATGGTAGAGTAATCATTTCAAGACCAGTGCTCAGATCGCACAATTTCACCCTATTCGATACGATGACTTTTTTCAAATTCCGCTTAGTGATCTGGAAATAATATTGTTGGATGACAGAGAGTTGAGGAAGGCGTAGGATCCTTGGGGGGTAAGAAGCTCTTATTTGTGTATTTGTAAAACACTTACGTTCATATTCTAATAGATTATAATTAACAAACAATGAAGCAAATAAGTGAATAATAAGATCACAATTGAACACAATCAATACCAGCGTAATAGGTGCGTACGTTATAGTGTATTTATAACTTACAATTAGATTAAATATCAATGATATATATTTGTTCAAAAATACTGAGTTCACTCGTGATGTGCAAATTATTTTTGATGCCCTCTAATTATCTAAAATATTAAATTTAATACACGAGAGATCAACTTTTGAAAACAAAAAATCACTTATATGTATTTCTTAGTTGTAATTGTTCGCCTGCGCTATTTCCTATTCAAATAAGTTGATTTTTTTATTCGTAAATAGTGCTATTGTAGACCATTCGCATCATTGTATGATAAATTGTCTGGCAAATTCGTTATCTGCTGGCAATGTACATAATCTCACTCGCCATGAAGCTTCAAGCTCCTTCGTGATATCCAATGAACTAAAGAACGAGTAGTTCTTCCAAATGGGCTTATATCTTTTAAGCTACTTTGAGTCTCCGACCCAGGGTATAAATAAATTACGTAAAATATATTCAAGACTCTTTTACTGATTTTATAGTTGATATATATTTTATAATCTGGACACAGTTAGTTAAGTTTTGCATGTGCTTTTTTTCTGCGATGAAATAAGTTTAGATAAGTAACATTTTAAAGGTTTATGATATTAATAACAATAATATATATGAATTGTGATCTCTTATCGGTAAAAAGCAACCAGCGACTTGTAAAATACTCTAAAAGTAAGATTCGCTCTAGGTTAATTACAGTTGGTCAGACAAACAAAACAACATCGTCATGTTTGGTAACCGTATAATTACCTATTCAAACATTACCGTAAGTTTCTAGCAAACAAACTTAGCTGAGCTTAGTTTCCTCAGCGATATAAAATATTACGTGCGACTACGCATTACATGGTATTCCTGAAGCGATCAATAACTCAGAAACCCTTATATATAAAAATTGGAGATTTTGACCGCTCAATTTTGATATTGAAACACCCAAACACTAATTTTCTTTCTAAAGTTCATTAATCCAAATACTTGGCTCTCAAATCAAAACGAATAATCCTGTGTTCAATTATATTATATTTACACCAACAACCAAATCCTTTTGCCAACACTTTTTTTAATATAACTGTGATTTGAAATATACTTTTCAAAATTTTACTGAAAGTTTGATATTTTATAGTTCATTTGATATTAGCTCTCTTATATATCAGAATCTTTATGTAACACTGAAGGAGTTGCTTTGATCGAGCACGGTATGCCTATTCATTTGTTATTTGTACTCAAATACTCGAAGTTACTTAATTTCTTCGAAAAGTAGGTGCTTTCATACCATAATACCGCAACAATAAACTTTTAGTAGTTCTACTTTTCTCTTAGTATTTATAAATATTGATGCAAACGCGATCATATTCATTGGTATATATACACAGGAAAATATTTTAATCAATTTAAGTTGTCACAAAAAACACTCTATTTTATTAAACAAATTTAGTAACCGGTTGCTCAAAATAGCATCAGTTACTGAAATTGAGTCAAAGAGTACTTGAATAAAGTAAAGAGAAAAAATATTTAAAAAAAACGTAAATCTTTTTAGTGTGCGGTTACAGTATTAGAAACGAGTATGTTAAGATTTTATGTATAAAACTATTTTGTAATACAATTTTCGACGATATTTATAATTTTTTTTTAAATCACCAGACAGGCCACTTAACGATAAAGAAATTTTTTTAACTTATTTATGCCGCCATAGTTTTACCAGTAATTATCAATTTTTCATAACCTTGGTCATGGAAATATTAATTTCATGTATAATAACAATGCAGAATGTAAGTTGATACTTGCACGCATATAAATGTTAAAATATATTTGTTGTAGCATCTACAAACACTCAACGTTACCACTCAAAATAATCAACAGCCAAAATTTCGCCATACACGTGTTGGTTCCGTTGTGAAATCAATAAACATACAACGCCGACAACAGCAATATCATTCACTTACCAGTATTCCTAGTCAGCCTGAAACGAAACTCGAGAAACGTTTGAACCAGGAAATGTTACCAGCGGCCAATACTAATAAATATTTCACAAAGATACCTGAAGTAAGTGTGAGAAAAAGCAAATATGACTTTCGCATAACAATTTCCGAATTTTGATTTAACTAACATGCCACTTCAAATTTTTAACTGTTTTTATGTACAATTTAGTTCCTTGCACGTATAGTAATTTTGAATCTTTCACTTCAACGATTATTATAAACTAAGTGTTTGTACAAAGTAAAATTAAAACAACTGCCTGTAAAAGATATATCTGTCTAGTATACGAATAAGTATTCGGACAATAAATGCAACTGTTATTTATTATTTCGTTGGATAAATATTATTCCTTAAGCTTGCTTTTATAATTCATAGTTCATAGGTGGCATAAATGTTACAGTTAATTTTATCTAAATACAGCACTTTTAAATTCTAACATCAAATTTTAAGAATCAATTTTTAAAAAAAGTTAAAAAATCTATTTTCTGCATTTACTTGACTTCAGGACTTACGTAAACATTTGGTCCATGAAGTTGGCGACACTAGTCACGTAATTGATGATTACTTAAATCTTCAACGTCAACATCAAACATTGAATCAACACCTACGAAATCATCATAAATCAGTCGATACTAAAACTGTGAGAAATATACAAAGCTTAAAAAATAATGAGAACAAACAGAGCTGTGAGACTTGCTACATAAAAAATTTTGGATGTTATGATCAAAACCATGGAGTTATTTCAGCATCTGTGTACAGAGACTTAAGGAATGGTACAATTGGTTGGTAACTTACAAAAGTGATAATAAGTCAAAATAATAATAAATGCTTGTATAGTGTCGCATGTAAAAGGATCTAGATAAGAAGTTGTATAGATCATGAGGTGTACATGGTTGTAGGTGGCAATGGGATCAAATTTTGTACTAGTACAAACCTTTATATGAATAAACGCTTGAATTTTCCATACCAACTAAATCTTTTTTTTTATTAACGTAACAGATTTAAATATTATATGCTTTAAGCTGGGTATATGTATCCTTATGAGAGAGATGCGGATATTCTTATGAGAGAAACTATTGATCTTTCCAACTAAGACTGAATTTTATTTGCTTGTTTTCCCGCTTTAATAGTTTTTTATTTAAGATTCAGTAGATCGTCATCATAGAGTATATGTATCTAACTTCATAACGTTGAGTTTTTTCATCGCCTAAAGATGTTGAAAATTTGTTATTTTTATCGAAAGATCATTTTAATATTATAATTGTGCTTTTACATTTAATAATGAATCTGAACAGCGACAAAGATCAGCGGAATGATGTCGGAGGTCAGAAACTCGTTGACATAGATGATGCTTCTTATTTCCAAAATCTGCTGAATAAATAGAGTACTTCTGTTACTTCCCCTTCTCTACGGAAGGAGCATACTCGTACTAACAGTCCTCCAGCGAAAGCGACATTTATTCTGAAACTGATGACGAGCTAGAGAAGGAAGAATTTGTTTTACGTCAACGCAAAAAGTCTCGATTTAACGACTGTGTAACGCATCGATTTGATGATTTGAATAACTCAAATCATATTCGCATGTGTACGTGGCAGTTCGTCACATGTGGGTCTGCCGCAATCCCAAAACTCGAGCATGCTATAAGACTCGAGCTACGGCAGCGCTCCTTCTTCTTTGCTCGGCCGCCACACACGAGGTAACAGCTCCGACCTGCGCGACGACACTTCTCGCTGGACGAAGATCACCTTGAGCACGCCTCGTACATCAAGCCTCTCACGCTAGTTGACATCGTCCACGAGATCAAATCAAGAACTGCGCCATTGCTGAATATTCTCCATCGAACATCTCGCATCATCGTGCATTAGAGGTAACGACGCTTAGCCGGCCCGTACTATTTTCTTCGCTAGTGTCGAGCCACGTGGCGGCTGCGGATTTCAATATATATCCGTGTGTGGTACAAGAAAGCCGAGCATTGCGAGCAATTATTCTTCAATTACGAATCAAAGTAAGGACATATTCGTTATAATCTCCGTAATTGGATTTAAATGTTGTTCGAACTTGGATATAACACAGATTTTATTTGCGTGTGAATTGACGAAACCGCATATCTTGTTTCGAGTATTTGTTTTCTGGATTTTATTTAAGATTCAACTATCAACTTGTTATTTATCGTCTAATTTAATGATACACTATTGAAGGTAGTATTGTCGAGTTAAGAATGAAGTATTTAGTTTATTGTGGTTGCAACCAATAAATATGATGTATACATAATAACGATTTTGTCATTCTAGCGACCTTCCTCTTGTTATGCAATCCGGCTCAGCATTCATAGTCTCGCTCCTAATTTCTAGCCCGGCAATTTCATTTGTTATATGACTTATTTCACATATAATCGACTATAATTAATAATAATTTTACAACTGTTATTTACGTTCTCATGTTCCTATGGTGCTGACTTTGAGCATGGGTACAAATTCGGATATTAATCAAATGAACCAGCAAATGCAAGTTTTATCTAATGTGGACAATTAACGCTTATGGCTGCTAACCTGGAGATGCTATCAACTTGTAGTAATGCATCTACTACGCCAATAGAGTACGCCTGATTTTATAGCCTGAGGCTAGAACTTTATCTTTTGGTGAGTTAAAATGGTTGACTAAAGACCAATTTTACCATTAGCACTACTATTTACTACATTATACTGTAAAAAAAATCTTGAAAATTCATCCAAAATCACGAAAAAAAATTCATGATGTAGAATCCTAAAAATGTTTTCATATATATATATATATATATATATATATATGTTATTTTTAATACTCTATATGAAATTCAATATTTGTGGTAAATTAATTACGATTTATACGTAACGATTTATAAAAATATTAATAAAATTTCATATAATGAGTTTGAAATTCATGTAAAATATAAAATTTCATAAGATCTATAATCGAAAATTTTTCGGTTTTATTTTTATAGAATCTCTCTCTCTCGCTCTCGCTCTCTCATTTCTTTTTGTTCATTTCTTACTCTTTCTCTTGTACTATTTTTTCACTACGAAATTTACAAGGCAAGTCGATGATTGCGCATATAACTATTTTACACATGAACTATTGTGCATAGTATAGTATGGTACAGTGTATATCCATACATCAATGTTCACGTAAATTATTGTACACAAGTTTACATGCAAAAATAATTATGTGTATGATTGTCAGCTTACCTTTTATAATATTTTATTTCATTGAATAATAATTTTTTACCTCTCTCTTGTATATGAATTTTTTAATATTTTATTTTACATAATTTTAATAAAACATTACAAAATTCATAATGCAAGAGAGAGGTAAAAAATTATTATTCAATGAAATAAAACATTATAAAAGACAAGCTGATAATTGAGCACTTAATTATTTTTACATGTAAACACTTATGCACAATAACATATGTCGCGGTCGGCTTAAAATAAGAAATTAATCGTTGATAAATGGACGGAGGCAGTATCGCGGATGCCGTTTGCGCGCTCGACTCATATTTGACACGATACCTTAATTTGATCTGTTTCGGAAAGGGGATTCGTTAGAAAAGGTCGCAGGACCGCGCAAGCCGTGATTCATGACCTTTCAGCCGACTATTAAAATCAGCCGTAGCCGAAAAGTGAAACCATTGCGATAGGAACTTGACCTGCACACGTCATGAATGCCATATGTTCTCGGCTCTACTAGCTTCCTTGCATGCGTAGATTTGTTCGTTTTGTCAACAAGAAATAGAGCGATAAGAATTTTATGTAAACGCGCTATAAGTTTTGTACTCGACTAACATTAATAGAAAACTAATGTGAATCTGAAGGATGGGCGCCGATACGAGGCGATGTTGTAAAGCAAATGTGACAGAAAGAGATGTAGAGTTCCTCTACTGTCACGTAATAGGGCACAGAACAAACAAATCGAGAAGAATAATGCCTCGAAATAGATCGCAAATAGAGACCAGAAGCCATCCCACAAGCTCAACTAGCAAGCACATCGATAAATAGGTGTATGCTTTGCTACAGCCAAGCAGATTGGAATATTTATTCCAATCTCATTTAGCGAGAAAAGATCGTAAAAAGATCTTTAACGCGCGGTGTCATGTGACAACGCCGAACACGACTCATAGTTAGCGAGGAGCGGGATGGCAAGCTACCCAAAACTATAGGAAATGCTGTAAAAGTAATGCCTATACGTTCCTTTAACGAGAGGAGAAAATAAAACCCTGTAGTGGGGATAAAAGAAAATTTTGAGATTTCGACTCGCTCGCCACCCATGATTCAGAACGCATTAGTAAGCCGAACTAGCAAGTCGTTTTTTCTTGTACGAACCATAAGATCGAGTTGACTGCAGCAACTCAAACCTTTGTATATCGCGTGCGATATTTAGAAAATTATATAGTTAATCATTTATTATTCACTTGGAATTAGCACTAATTTAATTTAATATTCATTGTATTTTAGAAATTAATGTATTGCTTTATTCCCGTCCTGAACAACATACGTGAAAATTAATGTATGAATACACTGTACCATACTATACTGCGCACAATAGCGCAAAATAGTTTGCGCACAATCGTCGACATGCCTTGTAAAATTCATAGTAAAAATAGTGTAAGAGAAATAGTGAAAAATAAAAGAAAAAGACCAAATAAGTAATTAAATGAATAAACTTACCTAATTGATTAAGGCGGTGTTAACGGCATTTTTATAGCTTGCGCCGAATGAATCGATGCCTCTTTCTCTTCATTCGGTCCTCTTACTGGTGTCCGTAGTGAATCGATGATCTCTTGCTCCACAGCATTAGATGTCGATATACATAACTACGAATATAAACGAATGGTATATTGAGAATGTACTTAAGCCTATCCGCACCAGAATGGAAAAATTCCAAGAGTAAGATTCAGGGTGGTCTCTTCGCTTTATACTAAATTTATCTGTCAATATCAGGTGAAGTGATAACAATTAGATTACACCTGAAAAGTACGTGATGGGAATCGTTTACAATTTAAACAGCAGTGGTGGCTATAGCAGTAAAATATACAAACCAACCATCAGTCGTCGATTGAAAGTAAAAGGGACAACACTGCAAATTCCGAGTGTCAATCGTCATCGGAAAGCGAAAGGATTGACTCATCAAATCATAAAGTTCCAAAAAGTCTCGGCTTAAAAGTAATTTCTGGTGGAAAGTAACTTGCATTATTTTTTGTTGCTTTCAACGAAATAATGAAGAACGTTCTAAAAATACAGTCACCTGTTGCCTTTGATGAATCCTTAGCTTATTATGGATTCATACTCATCAACCGTACAGCAATACATCTTTCAAAAATAGCGATGAAATTCGCATATGAATCAAACATCAAGACCTGTGTCTTTTACCATCTCGTAGTTCATTGCGTATTAGTGGTAGATTGTGCGACGATAAGAATGCAGTCTTAACGAATACTTTATTTGTGAACAACGCCATCTGTCGCTTGTTTGAGGAAATTAGGTATGAGCTAAATGCGATAGAAATCTATAAATGTAAAAACGTTGGTCTAACAACTATCATGAAAAATTGGCTATCACTTAATCCAAGTAAAAATTGGATTGCTGAAAATGCCGGATGGATAACAGAAAATAATCAGAAAATAATCAACGACAAACGATATTTCGATGTCACTATTCCTTTAAATTTCATTCTCAGATTTACTGAAGATTATCGCAAAGTATTGGTAAATATGAAACATGAACTAATTCTCACATGATCGAGCAGTGATTTAAACCGTTATCCAAACAACAAAATTAGTGGAACTAGAAAGAATCATCGAAAACTTCAAAATCAATATAACATGCATCGAATGGCTTATGCCGTACATTACTGCATCGAATACTCAAAAAATTCGTCTACTTGATTTTCTCAAAAGAAAAAGAAGCATTTTAATGAGTTTTCGTAGTTG